CACGCCTCCAGGTGTGCGACCTGGATCGAATCACCAAGGACCCTACGGCCAGCCGCCTCCTATGCAACAGCCGAACGGAAACCGACCTCCAAGTGCCCCGCTCCCACATCATCCGTCAATGGCGCCATATGCAGTACGTCAATCCGTTCGTTGGGTATCCGTCACTCATGCTAACTTCACTTACAGCCCCCGCCAGCATCGTACAGCGCTCAGCCGCCTTCAGCGGCCCCTGGTCCCTACCAGCCCCCTCCACAAATGCCACACGCTGGGCTCGCGGGTGCTCAGACTGGTGTGATAAGCAAAGATTCTCTGGGTCAAGATATCCAGAAGTTGATCGATGCGTCGAAGTTGGAGTTTGCGCAGAACCCACATGATCATAGTGTTCATCAAAGACTTAAGGCATTGTTGGATGTGCAGAACTTGCTCCAGCACCAGAACTTGCCTCAGGACCAATTGGTCCTTATAAAGAATCAAGTAGCCGATCTTGCTGTAAAAGTGAGGCCGTTCGCGGCCCAGGGTCATGCCCCTGCTGCTACGCCTGTCCCCCATCATCCACCGCCCGCTGCTACGGCACCTGTAGTACCGCCGTCCGGACCTCCTCAGCAGTCAGGAGGCGTGACACTTGACGCTCTCTTCGGCCAAGGGGCTCTTGCTGCTCTGTTGACCCGTCAATCAGCTACACCACAAGCACCAACACCAACGCCGCCTCCGCCGTTCCCGAATATGGCGATCCGATCTCCTCCACCACAAAGAGCCGAGCCTCAACGGCAGAGTAGCGCTCCGCCCGCCGCGGACCCTATGGCCTTGCTTGCAGGATTGCGGCAAGCGGGATTGCTGTCTGGAGGTGTGCCAAGTGCTACGCCAACACCAGCACCGCCGGCTCCCGCGCCAGTTCCCCCTCCGGGAATGCCTATGCTGCCGCCCGGCTTGTTGCCTCCGAACATTGCCAGCTTGCTAGCTGGCATGCCGCGACCTCCCATGCCGAATATGAACGCGAACCAGCTAGATGCCACAGCGCTCAAACAACAGTAAGTTTTTCTCGTGACTATGGATGTCACTGGACTCACTCTTCTGTAGATACCAGCCGCATTTGATTGCGTCAATCTATGAGCAATTAGGACCGCAATGCACGCAATGCGGCAGACGATTCAAGACAGATGAGGAGGGCAGAAAGAAGAAGATGGCGCACATGGATTGGCATTTCAAAGCTCACCAACGGCTTGCAGAAGCAGAGAAGCGAGGCCAGCATCGCAGCTGGTATGTCGACAATAACGTAAGTCTCTTGTCTGGTTTGAGGTGTGGCAGTATCTAATATTTCACAGGACTGGCTCAAGTCACGAGAAGCAATCGATGTCGACCACCCGCCATCTACGGGCGATGCCTCGTCTAGCCCCGGCAAGGAGAAGAAGGAAGCCAAGCCCAAGTACATCCCTGTGCCAGATGCGTCAAGCAGAATCAACAGTGTCTGCCCTATATGTCAAGAAAAGTTCGAGAACAAGTGGCTGGATACGGCGCAGGAATGGGTTTGGCTGGATACAATTCTAGTCGGCAACCGGGCATACCATTACAGCTGCCATGCGGAGGCAACACAAGCCCGGGGGAGCACCCCGACATACTCGAGGAGTACCCCCGAGCCGATGCACCGCAAGCGGAAGGCGGAGGTAAGCAGTGCGCAACCAAGAAGGTTTATCGGCCAACATTCGTTGACATCCATAACAGGGTGACCACAAATCTCATCGAGGAAGAGTGAAGGCGGAAAACAGAAAATGGGAAACAGAGCTCGATTACTAGCGATTGCATCGAACCGGTGGGAAGCGGCATATTGACAGGGCCTCGTGGGGCGGCATCAGATCATTCAGGGGAGGTCTAGAAGACACCATATCTGCATCTTGAACACACGAGGCACACTTTCTGGTGGCATTACGCGTTGCCAAGCGAGTCGTTGACATTTACGAAACAAGTGATTGGAAGGCGGTGTGGGCGAATCGAAACACTTGTCACACAAGCAAAAACGCCAACGCATCCGACAACAGAGAATAAGAAAAAACGGGATCCATGGACTAAGGCCCGGGTGGAAGAGATGAGAGTCGATCGTGGGGGGATCGGCACATACGGAATAGCAGAGGTGCGGGCGCCAGGTGGGAAGACGCATCTGTGGTGGTGATTCTCGAAGCTCCTCCGTTCGTCGGAGTTGCCGGGCAGGGGATCGGCGGACGAGCTCCTTGGTATCGCGGTCAACCTACATGCTCGGCAAGGCTAGGCTATGGCTACATGAGCGGAGATGATGTTTATAGACGATGCGCAAGGGGGAAGAGACGAGGGCTGAGAAAGCAACCAAGACACACCGCAAATCCAGACGTCTGACAGCGCAGCGGGCATCAGGGGTTTGATGCTCACATGGCGGGCAGACACTTTTTTCACGTATCGTGACAACTCGTGTTTATCGTGCTTCTGGGGGGTCAGATATCACCTTGGCTTTAATAATGAAATGCCGAAAACATGCAAGATTCCGTGGAAACCGTGATGGCGATGACAAGCAACCTCTTCTATTGGAATCTCGAAGCCATGCAAAATCCAGTCGCGCCCCATGAAATTTCTCGACGCTTCTCCACATGAGCTCTTGTGATCATGGATTTTGCTGTTGCATCGCATCCCACCACCCACTCCCCACAGTCTTGACTCTGCGCTAGTTGGGAGGAGGGTTGCAAGGGAACGCAGCGCGCATCTGTAGGAATCCTTGCATGTCAACCCTTTTTCATTGTATTGCAGCGCGTGGGCGACTCCGATATGGTGTAGGCGCATGGAAATGTTGCCGGAGCGGGCTGGAACGCGGCCTGCTGCGATGCTCTCTTGCGGCTGGTTCCTGGCAATGTTTCCGACCTCCGTTTAGATCGGTCACAAGAGGCACTCGTAGATTGGTGTGAACTTAGAGGGGGAGCGGGAGAGAGAGAGACTGGAGGCGTTGGGCCACGATTGGGTCGCATGGAGGCGGAAAGGACGGAGAAGGAAATAGTATGGGGATAGTGCAGGATGGACTCGCTCAGCACCCCACGACGACGTCGGTGGCAGTCCATGAGCACACTGGCAAGGTCGAAGACACTGGTGGCTTGAGACGGGAGGCGGCGGATGGCAGCCGGACCATCCTTTTTGGGCTTCCCGACGTGGCGCCCTTGTCTCTTTTGTGTCTCGCCTTCTTTTTGCTTCTTTCGGGGCTTGGTGCCTCATTGTTTTCTTGGGGGTGTATGCAGATCTCCGTGTGTAAGTAAGTACCGCTGTCTGACCGTCTTTTGATAGAAGAAGTTGCTTTGCTATCTAGTCTTTGCTATCTAATGAGCCATTGCGTTGTTTGATTAGACCACAGAGACTCCTACAAGCACGATGTTCTACGTTGAAACCCATTGGGTTGAATTAGTCTGATTCGGATGTCAAAATGCTGAATAGCTGTTACATGGGCAGTGTATTTAGGATGTAAGGTAGTCAGTGGTAGATGCTAGGTAGCATTGGGGCCCAACGGGTGTGGTGGCGGTGACGGAGACGGGACGAAATAACATTGAAATTCAAACAAAAGCAACATCATAATTGTGGAGGGAGGTCCCAAGCTCGTTTCTGAGCGAGAGAGCGAGCGAGCATTGGGTTGACGCACAACTCCCGTCAGCCGTCACCACCTAGCCAAGTGTTTCTCCAGGTCTTGCTAAAATAAAGTAGCCCGCCTGTTCACGGATGGTGTCGCAACCCCTTCTGGAAGCATGTGGAGAATGCTGTCATTTGGCGGGGTTATGCTTCCTTTCCGTGGCCTTCGACTTTGCCTCCAGTTACCCAAAGAGCTCTGTTCTGGACTTGGTGTAGGTAGGCACTTGGGGCGAGACCAGAGCGACTGGGGAGAGAAGAGGCGATGGATTAGCTCTCCCGGAGCATACCAGTTCTGGAGCATTAGGTTGGGGGCCTGGCCATTCAGGGACCTTCCCAGACGTCGTGGCTGCTTCCCCGAGCCCCGGAAATCCCACGGTGTAACCCCCCTTGCTGCAGTCCAGCGACCAGCAGATTCGATTCGACGGGCAGAGCTGGCGATGGACTGGGCTCCTTCCATGGTTGCTTGGCTCCCAACAGGCGGCTGGACACACCCCGAATTCAGTGGAGGTTAGGTTCAGGTCCCCCGAAGGTCCCTTGCGGCGCGGCTTGTGGTCGGTCGGTGCTGCGGGCTGGGTGGGTGCCCGCATATCGAAGTGGATGCCCCCCTCCACACCCCTCCATCCCATCGGTGTTGCCCCCGGTACGAGGGTGAGCCTGGCCGGCACCCGATAGCGCTTGGAATTGCAGCTGACACAGGCCGCGGATCCATCCCGAGCTTGCCATCATTTTTGTGGTTTGGCTACTTTGAGTCTCTGATTTCTGCCAGTCTGCTGGATTCTAGCTTGGCCCTCTTCCGCATCGTGTACAAGCGATGGCCTACAAATGCGCAGGGTAGCTCTTGTACCTTACCTACGCAGTACTTACCCCACCCAATGGAGGGGCAAAAGGGGTCCAGGTCCTGGGCAGGCGGCGCGAGCACCAAGCTCAATCCCCGTCGTAGAAGTGTTGAAGGTGGTGGTCCAGACGTTGACGGTCGTGGGGTGGGTGTGTGTGTTTGTCTGTCTTGTCTCCAGCCGCCCCTCCAGCTCGTGTTGAGGTCCAGCTCCCTTCTTAAGAAAGCTCCTCTTCACTCCTCTTTTTTTCTCTGGGTGCCATTGATTAATGGACCTGGAGGACCCAAAACTTCTACTGCCTTCCCACTCGTGCTAAAATCTTTCACCAGTCGACAAAAACAAACGAGACCCCAAAGTCTCACCTTCCCAACTTTGCACTACGTCATACAATACCGCGTGAATGGGTGAATATCTGCCACAGATGGAGTGAGTTTTATCTCTATGGTGTTTTCTTTTCCCTTTGTGAAGCTATTGATCGCGCTCACAACAGTATCCTGATCCTTTGGCTTCACATTGGCTTAACAAAAGAGCTTCAAAATGGCTAACAATCCTCCCTCCAGGCCCCCCCAACTTCTCGTGAGTTGCCAACGGAGAGCTCACCAGCTCATCTCTCCCTCGACACGAGCGCGGGCCACTGACTGAAGCAATCGATAGGATCATTACATCGGAATTGATGTGGGCACTGGCTCCGCCAGAGCTTGCATCATTGATGAGACCGGCGATATCAAGGCCCTGGCCACCGAGCCCATCAAGCTCTGGCAGCCAGAGACCGGATTCTACGTGAGTCTCCCGGTCCTCCCATTGTATTCTCTAGCTTTACGACAGCCTCCGCCACCGAGACAAAGTAAGCTAACTATCGGCAGGAACAATCGACCACAGACATCTGGGCATGCATTTGCCTCTGCGTCAAGCAGGTCCTCATCGACTCCTCGGTTGACCCTGCTAAGATCAAGGGAATCGGCTTCGATGCTACCTGCTCCCTCGCCGTCTTCAGAGACGACACCGATGTTCCTGTCCCTGTCACAGGCCCCGACTTCGATAACGCCGATGGCAATGACCGCAACGTCATCCTTTGGCTGGACCACCGTCCCGTCGAGGAGACGGAGAAGATCAACGCCACTGGCCACAACCTGCTCAAGTACGTCGGCGGCACCATGAGCATCGAGATGGAGATACCCAAGGTGCTCTGGCTCAAGAACCACATGCCCAAGGAGCTCTTCGACCGCTGCAAGTTCTACGACCTCGCGGATGCCCTCACGCATATGGCCACCGGCAACGAGACGCGGAGCTTCTGCAGCACCGTTTGCAAGCAGGGCTACGTCCCTGTTGGTGTCGACGGCAGCGTCAAGGGTTGGCAGGAGGATTTCCTTACAACAATCGGTCTGGAAGACCTTTGCAACGATAACTTCAAGCGCATGGGCGGCGTCAACGGGGTGGTGAGCGCCGGTTCCCGCGGATCGAGGACATTTGGCTAACAAGAATCGCAGAACGGAAAGTACCAGAGTGCCGGCGAGCTCGTCGGAACTCTCAGCAAGAAGGCCGCCCGGGAGCTGGGACTTCCCGAGGGCATCGCCCGTCGGTGGTGGTGTCATTGACGCCTACGCTGGATGGATCGGCACCGTCGGAGCCAAGGTCGAGCTCCCTCCTGATCATCTCGATGAGGAGGCGCCCAAGAACGACCTGTCCCAGGCTTTCCATAGGTTGGCGGCGGTTGCCGGAACATCCACGTGCCACTTGGCCATGTCCCGAGAAGCTGTGTTCGTGCCCGGCGTTTGGGGTCCTTACCGCGATGTGCTTCTGCCCGAGTTCTGGATGGCTGAAGGTGGTCAGTCCGCCACCGGCGAGCTCCTCCGTCACATTCTCGATATCCATCCCGCATACGTCGAGACCCAGGCGCTTGCCACGGCCGAGTCGAAGAACATTTACGACTTCCTGAACGCTCATCTGGAGTACATGCGAGAGAAGGCGAACGCTCCTTCCATCTCCTACTTGGGCCGCCACTTCTTCTTCTATGGCGACCTCTGGGGCAACCGATCACCCGTTGCCGACCCCAACATGAAGGGTGCCGTCATTGGCCTGAGCAGCGACAAGACGACAGACAACCTCGCGCTATGGTACTACGCGACGATGGAGTTCATTGCCATGCAGACGCGCCAGATCGTCGAGTCGATGAACAACGCCGGTCACGTCCTCAACACCATCTTCATGTCCGGCAGCCAGTGCCAAAACCCGCTGCTCATGGACCTGATGGCCACCATCTGCGACATGCCCGTCCTGGTGCCCCGCTACGTCAACGCTGCCGTCGTCCACGGCGCCGCCATGCTGGGTGCCAAGGCGGCCACCGCGTCCGAGGACGGCACCACGGAGAACCTGTGGTCCATTATGGATCGCATGAGCAAGCCTGGCAAGCTTGTCAAGCCCGGCACTCTGAAGGGCGAGAAGTTCCTCTTTGACGCCAAGTACAAGGTCTTCCTCGAGCAGTGCAAGACGCAGCAAGAGTACCGCAAGCATGTTGATGTCGCCGTTGACCAGTGGCTGCAGAACTAGGGCATTTTCTTTTCCACGGACTGACGACGGATTGACGAGATGAAAAAGGGGAAACGGAATCTTTCGGCGTGGGTTAGACGGCTTGGCTCAGGGGATTTGCGGCTTTCAGACCATGGATTGCGGTCACCCTCTGGATGGCTTGTTTCGAGGGGTTTTCAACGATAATGATAATAGTCGTTCATTACGAACATAGAAGTTCTTCACACAAAAGAGATTTCATACTAATCCGACGTGGAACCGTGGGTCGGTCGCATTGCGGCTCGCGAATGTTTTGAGGCGAACAGCGAGGATGCCGCAGTGAAGCAGGGGTAGCTGCGGGTTTCGTTACTGCACGTCCGCATCTGTAGCGAATACACGTGCCTTTGAACATAGCAGCTGATAGGGCAATGGCCTCTGCGCTAGCAGTGTAGGTAGCGGGACGGTGGAGTTGTGATGCTGCAACGGGGAGAGGCGTGTGGGGCCGCGCCTCAGCTGCCACGGACCAAGGCGACAGACATCACCTTGCAACGGCCGAAGCTTGTTTTTCTATTCTCTTTCTCCGTTGTACTTTTGCCTCTTTAAATTTCCTCCTCCTAGGCCTGCCGGCTCGGATCTAGTTGATCGAGAACAAAATCTAGGCAAATTCGTGACGTGCACTGGCCCGTTTCAATCCCTCGACGACCGATAAACAAAGCGCACGTTTCACAGCTCGCCAGCTTCACCAACGATCCCTCCCGAAGAGCCCCTAGCAGCAATTGCAGCCGCCGCTGCCACGAGCCCACCATGCGATTCGGAAAGACTTTGCGGCAGGCCATCTATGCGCCTTGGAAAGACAAGTACATTGACTACGCGAAGCTCAAGTCCCTTCTGCGAGAGGACAAGTACGACGACGAGGATGTCGCGTGGACCGAGGAGGACGAGAACCGATTCTGCGACGAGATCTTCAACACCCAACTCGAGAAAGTCGCGCAGTTTCAGGAGGAGACATTCAACGCGCTGAAGGATCGCATCGATGCCGCGTTCGAGAAACTCAAGGATCTGGCGCCGCCGGCCAGCGAGGGGGAGGAACAGGACGGGTCCGAAGCCAAGAAGCCCGACGCCGCGACGGCCCAGAAGCTGAAGGACATTGAAGCGGAGCTGGATAAGATCACGACCGAGATCTCGGAGCTCAAGAGGTACAGCAATATCAACTACACGGGCTTCCTCAAGATCGTCAAGAAGCACGATCGCAAGAGAGGCGACCGCTACAAGGTGCGCCCGATGATGCAGCTGAGCCTGTCGCAGCGGCCCTTCAACTCCGAGCAGGGCTACTCGCCATTGCTCAACAAGCTATCCATCATGTACTACGCTATCCGTCAACAACTTGACGAGGGCAGCGCCGATCAGCAGCCTTTGGACCTGGAAAGCCAAGGCGAGACGCATAACGGAGAGAGGTACACTGCCCACAAGTTCTGGGTGCATCCGGACAACCTGCTGGAGGTGAAGACGTACATCATGAGACGGCTTCCCGCGCTTGTCTACAGCGAACAGTCGGCCAGGGAACTCGACGGCTCCAGCGACCCTACGATTACGTCGCTCTACTTCGACAGCCCCAAGTTCGACCTCTATGGAAAGAAGGTGGAGCGCAAGGCCGAGGCCTCTTCACTGCGCGTGCGTTGGTACGGACAGTTGAGCTCTAAGCCTGACCTGTTCATCGAGCAAAAGATTGTCGGAGAGCAGGGATCCAGCGAGGAGCGCAAGTTCACGATCAAAGACAAGTACATCAAGCCGTTCATCGACGGAACATACAAGATGGAGAAGACGGTGCAAAAGATGGAGCGACAAGGCGTCCAGGCCGAGGAAATTGAAAACTTCAAAAACACCGTCCAGGCGCTTCAGGCTTTCGTTCAAGAGAACAAGCTCCAGCCCGTACTTCGCGCCAACTACGCCCGCACCGCCTTCCAGAAACCCGCTGACGACCGCGTCCGTATCTCGATCGACACCGAGGTTGCCTTCATTCGTGAGGACACCTTGGATCGCGATAGGCCTTGCCGTGACCCTTCCGAGTGGCACCGCACCGATATTGACGGTTCAAACGTGACCTACCCGTTCAAGGCCATCAACCAGAGCGAGGTCTCTCGCTTCCCCTACGCCATCCTGGAGATCAAGCTCAAGGAAGACCCCAACCGAAAGCGTCCTGCGTGGGTCGCGGATCTCATGGGTTCCCACTTGGTTCATCCCACTCCACGATTCTCCAAGTTCGTTCACGGCGTTGCCTCTCTCTTTGAAGACTACGTCAACAGCCTTCCTTTCTGGCTAAGCGATCTGGAAGCCGATATCCGCAAGGATCCTCAGAAGGCGTTCGAGGCTGAGGAGCAGCGTCGGGCCCAGCGAGCCGAGGATGAGCAGGCCGTCGGCAGCTTTTTGGGCAACAAAGTCAGTTCCTACAAGGTCTCCAAGAGCTCGCCGGCCGGCGCGTCCTATCTCGCCAACCGCATGGCGGCCGAGGCGAGCGCTCGCTCGAGGCAAGCGGGGACCACGGAGAACCAGCAAGCTGGCTCGAACCAGGAGAATGGCGACCAACAGCCGCGCAGCTATGGCACGCTGTCCTCCGTCCTCCCCGGTTTCTCGCTGTCCAAGTACTCCAAGGCCAAGAGAGCACAAAAGAACCAGGTGCAGCTGCCCGAAGGTGTTGTCGAGCCGGTTCAGTGGCTCAAGAACTCGGGCGAGCTCAAGATCGAGCCCAAGGTGTGGCTGGCCAACGAGCGCACGTTCCTCAAGTGGCAGCACATCTGCATCCTTCTGGGTGCATTGGCCGTCTCGCTGTACACCGCCGCTGGGGAGAACTTCCTCGCCGAGGTCATGGGTATTGCCTACATCTTGATCGCCGTTTTTGCCGGCATGTGGGGATACTTCATGATGCACAGCCGGAGAAAGATGATTATCGACCGCAGCGGAAAGGACTTTGATAACCTCGTCGGGCCGTTGATTATCAGCGTCGCGATGATGATTGCGCTTGTGTTGAACTTTGTGTTCGCTGTAAGTTGACGCTGATCTTTGAACTGTGACAGAAAGCTAACGACAAGTTAGTACCGCGGTGCTATGGAGAGGCTGAACGGGGAGAAGATGGCCTGGGAAATTATCAACGGCACCGGTGAGCCTATCCGCCAGGAGCTCATTTAAGTGACGAGAAACTCGACAAGTGTAGATTGTGTGGGTGAACCCTGTGTAGATGTCTCGCGTAGATTTCGTTTGGTGATCAACATGGCTTTGGGCCGGGTGCTGCTTTGGCTCTTTTTTTGGTATAATGCGTGATACCTCAGTCGGAGGCGGATGTAGAAGCATCGTGTAAATGTTTATGGGATAGGACTGTGCATCAAAAAAAAAACATTCTCTTTGTCGGTCAAGTAGAACTATATTGCACCACACTGGCGACACGAGCTTCTGCTTTCGAAACTCTCGACTTCTCTCTGTTCAAACTCTGTGGTTCTTGTACATGTTTCCTAGCGTTCCCGTGTACGAAGACGATGGTGCGCAGGAAGTGTAGACCGGCCATATTTCGTCAAGCAGCGCGTCTCACTGTAGCCACATTGAAATAATGAGGACTGCTATGTTGCAAGCTTCGACTCCAGCTTCAAATATTAAGGGATGCTTTGAAGACACTGTCATCTATCGCATTATTCCTTGCCGCTTACTTAGAATCAATTGCAGAATGTGATTAGTGGTCTCTGACCACAGAGAGTACGCCTCGAAGTAGTCGCAGACTTTGACGCTGGCTATACTCTTGTCTGTCTAGCTGCTACAAATTCTATGTAAAAATACTTTTTACTATTTGATATGCCCAAGTGAGCATTGTTCTACGTAAATGTCGAGTTAATAACAGCTGCATTATGTTATCCTTCACATCCGGTTCGACTTCTTCAAATGGACAGGAGGCCTCTTTATTAGGACGACCAATTTTATGAATACTAAAGTTCCCTCAGGTTCAGGCTATAATGGCAACACCAGCTCCAACAGCCATCAGCTGATGCATTCTTCTCCTGTCGACCTCCTTCTTCAGCATACAAATACAGCTTGCAACGATGAGGCATTCTACAGTGTCCTTGCCACCATTCTTCAAATCCGTCCACCTGAACAAGTCCATCATCAGCCGGCCCCCGTTGCCGGCCGTACTCCTTCCGGTCCCCGGCGTTCTTGTTTTCTCCCCGCGTACGAGCTGAGCGACGCGCGAAGCCTTCTCCTCTGTCTTCATCCCATTCGCAGGAATGGCCTGCTGGACAAGCTCACAGATGAGTAGCGTGTCCGCACCGTCGACAGCGGCGCGCTCTTTGCGGGAAGCGTAGCGCCATCGAAAAGTTCCGCATGGGGTTTTGAGGACCTGGGTGCGGGAGGTCAAGGATTTTGAGCGTATTTGGAGGTCCGAATCTTCCTCGCATATCTCTGTCACTACTGCAGAGCCATGCAGTGACGGATTCTCGTTTTGCAAGCGAAAGACTGGAGGCTTCCCTGGTCCGAAGCGAGAGAGCGTTGTACAAACGGGCATCTGAGCCGCATCGTCTCCCCGTATCAGGATACAGCTGTTGTCGCTGCGTGAGAAGCGGAGGGACCTATACGCTGGCGTGGAGCAGTTCCAGCGCCCCCCCTCGACTCGGAAGACTGGAATGGGGTCTGGCCTTGTCCCTCTCGGCAAAGAAAGCCAATGCTTTCCCGAGGACTCGATCTGAAATTGCACTGTGGATGTGAAGCACTCGCCGGCTCGAGATGGAGAGCTGTCAGAGGAGCGAGAATCTGGGGTGTTTGGAGGAGGTCTGATGCTAGCATTGGGAAACGAACGTGCTGTGGCATCATCGTAGGTTGGCGGCGAGTTTGAGAGCCGTGTTCGCGGCGATAGCTCGGTCAGGTTCACCGCAGAAGAAGACGGCAGCTCTGTCGCTGAAGAGTACGACGGGAGGGAAGATGTGCGCAAAACGGGTTGAGGTGTTTCGGTTAGCGTAGACATGGTTAACTTTGCTATTGAAGAGGTGGGAAATTTCAAATGACGATGTAATATACTAGTATTGTTGGGTCTTTGAAAAGACTTGGGTGATAGACATGCAAAGCCTCTCGACACCAGGTTGTTCAGGACACGGGGAAGCACGCCTTAAATGAGCTGGCCTTTCTCTCCAAGGTATGCTTGATTTCAAAAGGTTGGCCTCCGTGAAGAAAGAACGAGGAATACGGTAAATGGCAGCGCCTCACACTCTGCAATCGTCCGTCCGACATTGCCCATTCACTTCCTCAACCACTTGGGGCAGGAAGCATATAGTGTCCCATGAGATTCCACGAGCGTCCCCGGAGGCGCAGCTGCCTAGCCACCTCATCGTCCCAGCTTTCAGAGCTGAAAGTGGCAGGGAGAACTCTATGCGCCTTCCCGCCACGTGCTTGGTCACCGAAGCGTATTGATCGTATGTCTTCCAATTGCCTCCTGGAACGCTGGCCAAATTGCAGAAAATCAAGCTTTTCTCCAGGTCGCCTTGGTCATCAGAAATGCAAACGTGAGATGGTTGAAGTCTCGTTCTCCAGCGGCCCCACTTTCGGCCGTCGTATTGCTCGTTTTGCTCACTTCAGCCAATGAGAAGCCGGGCGTCCGGGCGGTGCGTCAAGATGATGGTGGAGGCGGTGCCGGGCCGGGTGGGGCCCATCCTGCCTCGGGTACCCGCACCGACGACTAGAGCGGTGATGAGGATCGGCGGTATTGTTGCCATGGTCTTGGAAGAACGAACCTTGTCTTTCTCACATGTCGTTTTCGCCGTGTGGGAACTTGAGTTTTCTGCACGCGTGAGTGATCCAGTGGAGTTTGCAATCTTTGTAGGGCTGGCTTCTTACCGGCGAATTCGAGCACGTCTTGCGGGCTGCAAGTACACGAGAGGAGATGTAAGATTATAGCACCAAAGTTATGATTACTATCCGTCATTGTATCTGAGGGAGCATCGGGTCATTCATTCTATCTTTGTAAAGAAGAAGTGATCCCGACTCATCTGGTCCTCCACCCACACCGGCCACTGGTTGTATATGAGGTGCTCATGGTCTATCTGCCTGTTCAGATACCTCAGCCAGCGAACAATGCTGCCCATGTCCTCCGGGTTGTCCGTCTCCTTCTTCGGCGGCGCTTTCTCGCGGCATTCATGCTCGGCCTTGGTAACCGATGCCATTACTAGCTGAGCGGCGATCCAGTGAGTAGCCAGGAGAACCATCGTCATGTTAGACATGTCGATGACCCGCTGGAACTTGTCATGCGGCAGCTGGATCCACCAGCCGTAGTGCTTCGAGATCATTCTGTATGCTTTCGAGGTTCGCTCAGGTCAGCTTCTTCTTCTTTTGGCGAACTCTTCAGCATTGAGGCAGATAGAGAGAGACTTTGCGGTACCTTCCCAGGATGATGTGTGCATCTTGCACGCCAACTCGTATATGATATCATAGTACTGAATCCCAACCTCGTCTCGGCACAGATGTCGTAACGCACCAATGGCTTCAACCGCACCGTCAGCCCACTCCTGCCGTATCAATGGAAGATTCACCATCTTCGGCTCCAAGACCGCCCGCGAATCCTGGTCAAGCATGTTGACGAAGACGGGCTTGGTCCCTTTGCACATCATATGCGCGCCGATGATGAGAATGCCTCTGATGAAGGTCATGAACTCGCCCATGCCATCCTCGAAGCTGGTCGACTGGAACGTCAGTGCGAAGCACGTGGCTACGAGCGCGTTGGCGTGCTCCATGTTAGTCCCCTTGGTCGGAAGCTCGGCCAGAGACTTCTTGATTGCCTTGATGGCCTTGACACGGTGAGCCATGGCGAAGGCCAACAGGCTCGGGTCTTGGGCCATTAGATCGCAGGCCGCCATGCCGAGGATGGCGTGCATTAAAAACTCGTGCTGTGGAGGCGTTAGTGAACGTGGCAAATGCCTCGGGAGCGAGCAGGATCGTACGCTTTGAGACAAGCATGGAATCTCGTGGGTCCAAATGTTCTCGTTGCCGATGGGGTGGTGCGGGTAGCACTGGAGCATGAAGTGCTGGAAGAACCTCATGTCCTGCAAGCTAAAGAGCGGAACTTGGTGGTGAGGCTGGAGAATATTGTCAGCTGCCATACTCGAAATATTGACGCCTGGCGTACCTGGTGTGTGATGGTTGGCGTGCTTGGATATTCGCACTTCAAACCGGTCTTGACACAATGACCACAAGATGGGCGCGTTTCCTGGCACTGCGGAAGCGGTCAGGTCAACCGACCCCAGATAAATCAAAGACGGGTGGAGTACCTTGATCCGCCTTCTTTTGCAGTTAAAGCATCCTCTTCGGCTCTTCGTATGTCCTCTTCGTTCAAGCCTCTGCTTCTGAACCGGTGCGTTTGACGTGCTAATTTCGGGACGTGAGTTATTGGCAGCCACTGCCGAAGAGGCGCCCGTCGGGGGAGAGGCGGACAGCGTCTCACTAGAGTACGCGGCCCCGTCTCCGAGAAGCAGGTCCTCGTCCGGGAAGGCCGACCCGAGGTCATACTCATTGAGACTGAAGACAGGTTGAATCGGGATGCCTTGGTGTGTGACGTCCATGTTCTCGTTTTTCAACTTCGGGGGGAGTTAGTGATGAATGTCTCGTTTCAAAGAGCCTGACAGCTAGAAACGAATCGCCGTGCTAGACGTTTTAAGAAGCTTGTTCCATCGCCTCAACGGCTCGTCGACAACAGGCTGACGCTGAACCCATCACCTGAAAAGCACCCAAGAAAGCCAAGTCAAGTCACGTGTGGCAGCGTCCAAGATTGTCATCGTGGCAGGGTGTCGGAGTGACTTTCAGCCCGCTACAGGTCTTAGATGCATCATTCCTAAGCGTTCATTGGCCCCTTCAGATCGTCACTCAGCTTTGGTGGCTGTCTTGTGGAGGCTGTGCGCGATGAAGCCTTTCAAGTTGCCTTGCGACAGAACCAGTGATATGGCTCGCTGCTCACCGAATGAGTCTTGGAAACGGCACATTGTGTGCGACCTCACGCATCGTCGCGGCGGTGCAAATATCGTGAGGTCCTCTTCCGTGTAGGTACACGGAAGACCCGCTCCGCCATGCGTGTGCGCTCCGTAAGCGCCCCAGGGGCCGCAAGACAGCAGATGCAGCTGGATCGATAGCTCAGTGGTAGAGCGAGAGATTGCAGTTCCACGCAGTTATCTCTAGGCCCCGCGTTCGAACCGCGGTCGGTCCTTTCAGTTTTGCACTTCGATCCTGGTGATGCCCTTTTCTTTTTGACGATTTTGGCTTGTGTAGTCAATATCCTCACTTGAGTTGTAAGAAATGCAAGGTTTCATTTTGTGTGCGTGGCCATGGCGCGCGCACCCGCTTAAATTTAAGCGTGTTTGTGCTCTGCCATAGTTATTCACTTTCTGGGGTCGGTCGGTCCCAACACAGACTTGTACTCAAAATCAGTTAACCATACACGATGATGGTCTTATATCCCGAGGCTTGTAGAATGGCCAGACGCTACTTCGGAATTATTGACATGCCATTGTTAGTCTTCGATGCGACGGATGCGAATTTAGGATAGCATCGAAATAGCCTTAGCTAGAGCCGCCTCCCACCCTGATGGAAATGGAAAGCTGTCCTTGCTGAACACTCACAAGGGGACTAGAAGGGCCGCCGAAGGTTGAGCAGAAGGTTGAGCATTAGCCTACGCCTCAGCCATATCTTCGAGGGTTTGCAAAAGTCTCATTACCCTGATTGTTGGCGACGACGAAAGCAGCGGTGCGACGCTGCTGATTTGCTCTCCCCAAACTCACCTGATCTCCTAGGACCCTGAAGTTGTACCGCGAGCCAACTCATTCCTTTCTTTGACTTCCAATCTAGTGGGGCCCGTTCTCTCGGCATCATGCTGCCGACAACGTCACTGGAGGACTCCTTAATAATTTCAGCATCCTATGCTATGGATGGCATCCTTTGTATCAGTAGATGAGATCAGATGATGGCTGCCGACTTCCGGTTTGCAGTGTCTGACACGTTGCGAACGCCCGCATCATAGCAGCCGTCAGCCAGAGGGAGGGTGGTCCTGCAAGGGAAGACTTGAATAAATATAAATGCATGCAGCTGGGAGGAATCATGTTCCATGTGGTAGTACGGCGAGGAAACGACGAGAATGACACTTTGAAGGAATGCCGGTATTTTAGGGTGTCTGCAGGCAACCTTTCCGTGCGGCGTGCAGCATGCAAGTAAGACAGCCTGTTTGGACAAGCGCAGATGACGGACACCAACCGACAGATTTCAGCCTAGAGAATGGAGAACAATACCAAGGCCTAAAGCCTATAATTGTAAGACATTGGCGCGGATGGTTGCCTGCTTGATTAGGGCGCTGTCAGGCAAGCCAGGTCACCTTGGGAATCAACAACGTTTATCGGCTTGGACAATGCTCTCAGCGTCGAACGAAAGTACTCGGTGTTTGAGTGCGGCAGCTGTTTGCGGCGAGAGGCCCAGCTCGAGTGATTACGTACGCCGCGATGGTTGAACTACTGAACGGTGAAAAGACTCGTGTTCCTCATAATGAATTGAGTTGCGCGGCCCAGGGCTCTGAGTCGTGCTTCCGTCGACGTCGGCTTCAGCCTTTATCAACCACAGTGATCCGAGCGTCCAGCCCGGTGGTAATTGGCCTGATCAAGAACAGCGGCCGGCATGGCAGTCCCGGATGATGGACCCGGGTGACATTCCGAGGCTCTAGTGTAGCTTCGGCGTGGCGCAGTGGTGTCCAGGTTGTCGCTTCCCGGTAGGTCCTGCTGGGAGTTGGGGTCGAGGTCGAACTCCCGTTGGACCACCAAGCTTTGGTTGATCCGGAGAGCTGGTCATCATCAGCTTCCTTTGCCAGGGCAGCAAGGCAGGCAGGGGAGGCACCGGGTCGGACTGGGCGAGGGATGTGGGCGGCTCTGGGCGCCGTGGAGAGAGGACCAGACAAAAGTGAGAGAGATGCCAGAATGGGCGCCAAGTTTCGGGGATAATCGATGGGATGCGGTCGACAACTGCCCCGTGGCGGCGGAAGCTCATCTCGCTTAGGGTTTCACAGCCGGCACCCTGGGGCTTGCGGGTTGGCCCTGCCGGAACTGACGTTGTCGGGGACTGGAAGAGTCGGCCGTGTCCAACTCCAAGTCGAGTCGCCCAAGTCCCGGGCAAGGGCTGGGACGTGGACGGGCTGGGCCTGGTCCCAGTCGATCCATCTGGTTCCACGTAACGTACTAAACGCAAAAGGGGATAGGCTCAAGAGAAAGAGGAAGACGACAACGTGGAGCCAACCCAAAGTGGTGAAACGGGTCCAAAGGGCGGGCCTGATCGTGCTCTCAGTGGCCTCGCATTCGTCCCATTTCCCTCGCAGATGGCATCAGTCTTTGTCGGCTGCCCCAAGCGCGGGGCTGCCGTCCAATGTTGTCGTTTCTGTCATCCTTTGTTCATCCGATGCTGGCAGCTGCGGGACCGATACGAAAGCACACCAGGTTGTGTGCGCCGTAGGGCGGGCCCTTCAACCCGGGGCCAGGCCAGCTGAGCCGTTGAAGGCTTCGTCAGCGAGGATTGAGGGTCTCGCGTAATGGTCGAAGCCTCGAGGTAGGTGACTCGTCGACGATGAGGCTTCGCCTTGAGCCTGGCAAGGGACGAAGAGGCGGCAATGTCCGGAAACGGCGGTGGCTCTCGTCGTTTGTTTGCACACGTCTACGTCTCCCTGGTGATGGCGCAGAGGGACCAAGATGGGTGAGGAGAGGGGAGGAGAGGGAGCGGAGCCAAGGCAATGGTGACGAGTCCAAGCAGCCAAGCAGAAGTTTGTTGGATGAGTGAGGAGGGAGGCGAAAACAGAGGGATTTCCGAGCAACTGCTGTGAGCCATAGCAGGACAACTAAGAAGGTGGTGGAGGCCGTTCGCTAGGATTTCACATGCAGACTTGCAGAGTCTTTTGCTGGTCAAGGCTCAATCAAGTTGCACTCAGCAACGGGCCTAAAAACAAACGTTAGGGTTGCAAGAACCTAATTAGTTGCGGAGATGCAGGTACAACGAGCTAAGTCAAGCACCTCAGTGTAGCGCAGACGAGAAACAGACGGCCGAGAGTGCTGATGATGATTCTTACCTGCATCACGCTTACAACACGCACCGGCTCTGACATGTCTACCTACCATCGACTGCCACCTGTGCGTGTTGCCAGCCTGTGCGGTGCATCATGGTCTGGCAGCCGCCGACTGGACTTGGTGGGGACTACTGCATAGTACAGGGACGGTTGAGGGGATAAGCAAGGAACTGGCTGATTCAGACGACTTGTGGTGCAGGCTGCTGGCTCGTATCTTTTGGCGGACGACAGGGCCGAGGTGTACCTTGGCGAGCAGCTCTCACCGAGGTATCCTTGCCGCCCGGCGTTCCAAGGTTGCGCCGCGGTTCCGGTTCCTGCAGCATTTTGCCCCCCGTTCCTGCATAAGCCAGGGGTGAAAATGGCGCTTCTTGCTCGATTCGCCTCCTGGTTGGCCACTGAGGTTGACGGGAACGAGTTTTCAACCCTGCCAAGTTTTGCTTCTTTCCCCTCTTCTTGCTGCATGCGCCGGGCTCGTGCTGGCGGCGAGGGAAGCACGGAAGGAAGGAAGCATGTTGAGCACCTACCTAGGTATGGAAGGATAAAGTATGGACGTGATGGTGTGAAGGCACTCTGTAGGCGGCAATGTAAAACAAGCCACAAAAAAAAAAAAAAAAAAAAAAAAAAAAGCGACTGTTTGTTTCTCCCTCGTTTGACGCCGAGCAGCCGTAATTAGCCCGGGGATCTGGATTATCGAAGACCAGTGAAACCGAGACTCCAACTATTAAGGAATAGAGGCAAATAGCCAAAGAAGAAAGGGATTGTTCATTGCCTGCCCCCTTCTGTCTCAGTACCCATACACTTGGTTGGCCGTTGACGGTGACTAGGACGCAGAATTCCAGCGAGTTATGTCACTGTGGGCTCTCGAGTGTCCGTCTGCACGGGAAACCTGCTATCTGTGATACCGTGATTCACCGCGGCAGTTTCTGAAGTCTCCGCTCTGGGCAGCAACTCCAATGCAACAGTCGAGGAAGCCCTGGGTAATCTTCTGTCATCAGGTCGTTGCGTCGGTACGCCACCCCAGCAGCATTCGCGGATGTGTCCCGCCCTCTCGGCTGCCATTGAGCGGTTGCTAGAGAGTCAGTCCAGACTGTCCAGGCCCTGAGGCCCATGACGGGTGCCACAAAAAGAAAAAGCATGGGCCTGCTCGGAGGTGCTGATCCCCTCCCAAAAACGAAGAAAAAAAAATAAAAGACTCAAAGAAAAATCGGACGAAGAAAGACCTGATGAACTGCCAGGGGGGGAACACGGGGGCGCAAGGGAGTTTCCACAATCCAATTCCGTCCCATCTGTGCCACCACTCCAAGTTCCAAGACCACCACCATTGACCTTCCATCGACCACCACGACAGTGACGGCGGATGCTCCACCTGCCAGTCACTGACTGAGGCGTTCGGGTATTTTGGTGTGTGGTACTCCGTAGAGGTCAATGGCAGGATGAAAAATCAGTGAACCAAAGCTGACCTAGGAAGTCACGTCGCGA